ATTTTTAGTACATTTTTCTTCCAATATGTAAATTATTGGAAAAGTCATTAACACGAAAGTCTTAAACTTATTTAAAAACAAGAATATAAATAAAATGGTCAAATAAATATTTTTTTAAACAAATATTTTTGTGATTATAATGTGAATACATAATTAAGAAATAAAGACTCTAAATGGATAAATTTTTAATGCTTATATAAATAATTCGGTGTGAATTTATATCATATCTACAAACTGCGAATCGAATTTAAATTGAAACGCAATCCTAACAGAATTAGAGTAATAATATCACAAATTGACATGCAATTTAATAATATTGATGCTCATAGATATTTCAGAAAGATCTTAATAAATGCTGATAGCAAATTAAAACTGCTTAAAACTTAAATAATTTTATTTTTATTTTTTATATCTTTATGCTTTTTTTTATCTTTATGTTATTTTAAGATCTATAGATAATTTTAATTTTAACGTGCAAATATTTGTTTTATTTTTACATTTACTTCGTTTTTCGAAGATCGAATACATGATATTCTCCATATCATTTCTTTCTCTCGGTCCGCTGGATGTTGACTCGTCGTTATAACCGGTTCGACGATCGGTCCGTTCGCGCATTTTTCTTGCCGTACGATGTGCGTGCCTCGCACATCGTGACGCAACTTCGTCGACACATATTACCCCCGGGATATCAGACAGAGAGATGCATCACAGCCTGGTGCATCCTGCGTAAAACTAGGACACACAATCGACCACAGGGTATCTCTCCTCCCTACGAAATGTCCTTTGAAATGCCCTACGAATTCCGAGCGATGCGATTCTCCACGATTCTCCACGATTCTCCCCGATCGACGCGACAAAGAAGCACACACACGAGATCGAATCCAGCCCTGATGATCTGTTTCGACTTGACCCAGAAAAAGCGGATCCATCGAAGTTCTACCGGGTGGAACCGGCGGCTTTCAATTTTTGTAAAATCGCACCGTAACGAGCCAGATCGCATTCAAATGTAAAACTTTTGTCATGCAACGTGGAATGCGCGCCGCGATGCGCCGATCGTCGCGGACGCGATGCAACAGCTATCCCATGAATAATTTAATGCCCGACATAGTTACATTGTTGTGTACTAATGGCATTGTGCGCGACACGTCGATCTCGCGCAGATCGGCTCATTATCATTGCGCATTCCTCGCTTTATTTTGAAATAAAGATGAGACAATGGTCACCGACACGAATGCAAATTCAAGAGCGGCGCGTGAAAACAGAATTTGATATTGGTTTTTTAAATTACGGTGAATCAGTTTGACATTCATGCACCGCGTTTAATATATTTAAAGATTATTCCTCCAAACCTAATTTTTTATTGAAACCATATTAAAAAAAGATTTCTTTAAAATTCAATTCATGAGCACTTTAATATTTTAGTGATTTTACTTACTAGACAATTAATTTTTTTCAAAATTTTGACTATTTTTCCAATATACATTATTAGATTTCAAATGATGTCGATAGAATAAATAATTTTTAAATTAAATAATTTCAACGGATAATATTTTCAAATTTAATGATAAACATTATAATGTACGCAGAATCTGAAGGGATTAAATAGCGACCGAAACGTACACGGAATTTTTTGTCTAGACGTAAAATAATCTAAATAAACTCACACATTAATATTCAATATTAAAATGTCAAGTTTAATATATTTCAATATTAACCAAATATTTTTATAAGTTAAATTCGTTATCTGTAAACAAGAAAAATTTAAATTAAATGTTATGTAGCAAGAAATACATTAATTGCGTTTCACATATAATCATTTAATTATTAAAAGTTTAAAATTTTTAATTATATCCAATATTCAAAGATAAGATACACTTTCTAAATGATTGATCACTAAAAATGCCTACATAAAAACTTGAGAAAGTTTGAAAGTGTCCCAGCATCACCTTTTTAACGCATCTCCGGATTGGATGACTAAAATGTAGGAGGTGAGCTGAATTTAAATATGCAATAATCTTTTTTTTGTATTCTGTATTAAATTACAGAAGAAAAAAAGATTACAAACAAGCTTTTAATAACCTAATGTATCACTTCTATTTAACTATGTAACATAACATATTTTTACAGAAATAACAATTTAACAGAAATAACAATTTAAAAATAAATTAAAAGTTACAAACAATGAAAAAAGATTAATATAAATATATAGTCGACTGAATACAATATTGTAACGCGAACGAGTCAAAGAATCGGGAAAAGTTTATTGAAAGTTTCGCTGAAACGTAAACTGTTATTAGTTTCGCCCTTTCGAAAAAAAGATAAAGCAGTTTTTTCCTCACGTTATTTTATAATCACGAGCGTCGTTGATTCGACTCGCTCCGGTGCAGCGCGACGCAGGTGCGACGCGACGCAACGCGACGCGACGGACCAGCGTCACTGAGCGCCGCGCATCGACGAAACAAAGCCGGTCGTATCGAAAAAGGATTCGCGCGGGGCGCGGGTATTTCCGCGAGGAGCAAGAGAGTAACGCGAGGAATTTTACCTGCATCGCTTTAGCATCGTTTGCGTCCCGTTCCGCTGCTCCGCTGCGATCGTCATGCACGTTCCTTCGTCTGCCGCGTCTCACTCTTCCTCTCTCCTTCCCACCAATGGTAGACCTTGAAGGTCCTGAACTAACGGTGGTCTTTGCGACACGCCGACCTTCCCTGTGTCTCTTTTAGTAGGATCCCTCACCGATTTGTTCTCTTTGCTCGCACCGCGAGCGTTTCAGCGCCGAACCGGTCGCGAGTTCAATAGAATTTCCGCGGCGACCGGAATCGAGATAATGTACACACGTGTCCCACGGCGTCGGCTCAACTGAATTTCAGGCTACTGCGGCTCCTCTTTATTCTCACCTGACGTAGACAGGTGCTGCAGGTGGCACCACTTTCCGATCGGCGACCCCCTGTCGCTTACCGATCATGCTATGGAGAACAAATTGCAAGAAAAATAAAACGCGCTCCTTTTCTCCTTTTACTAAAGTAAACAATTTATTAAGAAAAAATCTTGATAAATTTCGAAAAAATTTATACACAATTCTCTTCCAGGTTGCCGATTTTTTATGAAATTCATATTCACAACTCTCTTGGACTGCAGTAATAGTAAAAAAAAGGACGAAAACAAAATCCCTTTTTTTTTCAAACGATGGACCGATGGTTCTAAGTAATATATGAGTAAAAAAGTGGTTAAAAATATGGGGATAGTCATAATATTGAAATAGAAAGTCTTTCATCAGCCTACGATGAAGGTTTTCTTAGAAAACCATTCTTTTCTCTGCGATCTCACGACTTTTAGGAAATTGTTCATTGTCAGTCCATGATATTCAGGAAACTATATTCTTTTCCTGGTCCCCGACTCCTGAAGGGAGCTATTTTCGTACTTTTTTTGTAGAAAAAAAAAACCGCAAAGATAACCACACCGAATTTTTAACCGCGTTTTTGCTCCCACATGCGGGGTGTTCCGAGCTGAACGATGCTCTTCCGGGTCCCAGCCCGTAACAAGCTACTTTTTCTTCTCGTGAAGCGTCTCAAGGAGAGAATGCAATGGTACTGCTATTCTTTTGTACAAAAGAGAACGACCGCCACAAATTTTTAACCGTGTATACACGAACACGAACACGCGCGGGAGTTTCGAAGCCAAAGGGGAACTCGCCAGTCTTTTACCAGACAGATGGTTTTTTTTATCGCAAAGCGATCTAAAAGGCACATTGGTATTTCTACTTTTTTACACGAACGAACCCAGGAACGATCACAAATTTTTGACCGTTTTCGTTCATATGTTACGTTTCGCATGGAAGAAAGCCTTTTTAGGTTTTCGTGTTAGATAAAATTTTTTGAGGAAACTAGTTTTTTCACTCGCAATTTTTTGGCAATTCTATAGATACGCGGTCTGCTTGATGTTTGCTCCAAATTTTGACAATGTAAATGTAAAATACGCGAGTTTATAGGAGAAAATTTCTGTATTATGTATTTTTTTATTACAAAATATATTTATTATACAAAGATATATAAAGTGATACATCATTGTAAATTTTATTTTCAATTAATAATGTATACAATATGTGCAATATACATATAATATAATACAGGTACTTAATAATTTGCTAAGAAATGTTTCTCAGCTTCACTGGATTTTACAAGTATCAAGAAAGCAGGTGTACCGCCGCGAACTATGAACCTGAAAGATTAATTTTGACATTAAAATAAGCTTTTCGGCTTATGGGTTTACTTATAAAATACTGCTAGTAAACTCACTGTTTGTCTCGTAATATTTCATTCAACGTGGACTGGATGTCTACTTTATGAATGGAACATTTGTTTTTTCCTTCAAAATATACATTTATATTTTCTATAGTATAACAATGTTTTACATCCCATTCAGGGGGTTCTTCGAATAGTTCGATTAACTGTTCAATTAATCTATAAACAATTAAAAATATTTTTTAATAGTATAATTATATAACGTATAATGTATTTTGATAAAAAGACATACAACGTATCTTCATGAAAATTTTGTATAAAATCAGTTTGCTGAGTCTCTGGATATAAAATCATTACTGGCCACACAAGCTTGTCCTTCTCGTCGAAGTGTACTCTGCTTTGTGCTATTTGCGGTACTTGAGGCTCTAAATCTCTTAATTCTAACTTTTGTTTATCATTCGTCAATTCTAAATTAATACCTTTTCGAGAAATTGTTTCTAACAATTTTTCATCCTCCTTATCTGATTTTTTCTCTGTTCTTTCTTGCTTTCTCTTATCTCTTTGTAAACGCTCCTTTGTGAACAAAATAATCGATAACATTAAGAATGGAAACTTTTGTAACTTAACTTTTACATCAATATTTATTAATATAGCTTACTTTTGCAATTACAGAATCAGATCTTAATTTCGATATTGTTTTATCAGTTGGATTTTGATCAAGAAACTGATCGCATAAATCAATGCATTGGTCATAATCTTTAATGTGGAAACTACAAGTGGCAGCTCGACTCAAAGCCTTTGGATATTGTGACTTAAGCTTTAAAGCCAATTTACAGTCATTCAAACATGATCTATAATTTTTATTATATTAAAAACTTTATCATTAATATTAATCATTCAATCAATGCAATCTATCAGAAGGCTTGCCTGTAATTTTGCAACATGAAATGTGCTGCGGCTCTGTTATTGTAAAGCTGAGCCATCAAATCGTCATCTTTACATTTGGTTTTTATCCCTGTTGTATAACCAAGAATAGCAAGACGATACTTTTTATACTTATAATTAAAGTTTCCATCCTCCTTGTAATTATTCGCCAATTCTGCATTAAAAGTATATATATATATATATATATATATATGTTGCATAGGAAGCAAACAACATATTCTCTGCGTATGAATAACGAGAACAACAATGAATATTACTCCATAATAGTACATACGATTGGAACACTTATGTCCTGCACATTTTTCTTTGAAATATTAGGAGTACTTAAATAAATAATAGTCTCTATTCTTTTCTTTTTTTTATAATATATATTTTTGCAAATACTCTTTAAGGATGTTATGTGTAGAAACTACATATCTAATAATTTTTATATATTTATAAAAGTGATAAAAATTAATTCTTGAATTAATCTATAAGATATGAATGACTCATTGTGTATATAAAAGTTATCATGTATCAGACAACATGCAGGTCTAAAAGATGTCAAAAAATATCTTGAAGATATCTTCTAGATGTGCATATTGTTTGGTGTACTAATAATGAATTCGATTATTCATACTATACTGGATTCATACATATTAAAGGTGATACAATTTATATGATGAATTTAATCACTTTCACAGTACACTGGATCAGTATACAACAAAGAATACTTTATATAAAGTATCTAAATGCAGTAGCATAATATAATCAATTTTGGCAATAAAATAACACATACTCTATAAAGTCATATTAAATAATGTGACAGTGTCATTTTTGGAAATTTAATTATTTAAAATATTCATTGTGCTTTTATATTTAACTTTACTAATTTTATGTATAGTAACTTTTAATAAACATCTAACATAATGCAAGTGAACGATTCGTTATAAAATTTAAAAACAAGATATAACGAAAAATCTGTTGAAAAAAACATACCTTCAGGAGTATTCTCATCCTCCCCATACTTAAGTTGTTGCAATCCCTCCATTAAAGGAGACAACTCGTCGCCAGGTTCCGGTGGTTTTTTCATGAAAAAAGGATGTTTCTCCATTTCCTCTTGCCACCTGTCCTCCGGCCATCCTTCTGTATAACTCTTTTTCTCCAAGTTATTTATGTACTCGTCCAGTTCGGCGTCCAATTTCGCGGCAAGCTCCAAACGCTCTTCATCCGTCCAAATTTTCCTCTTTTCACCAATTTCATCCCCTTGCATATTGTTTTCGCAATAAAAATTTCACAATGCCCAAATCAAAATACGAGTGAACTATTTTACAATCCAATTCGTCTGATAAATAACTAATTAGGCGCGTTGTACGTGAGTATATCACAACATTGCTCGACGTAATGAACATAACCTCGAAATTGCTACTTGTTCACCAAAAACAATGGTGGTCACGTGTGCGGAATGAATAGCAGACGATAATTTATTTCTGATTTTACCGACCACACGTCGGCATTTTATCTGTAGATGGCGCTGGGTGTGCTTTTCAAATGTTTTTAAACATACCGATGCGCGATGATAAATATTGTATATTTTTATACGCATTTTTTTATAATTGTAAAATAAATTGAGTTTTAAATAGAAAAAAATAGAAGAAAAATATTTAGATAAATAAAAATAATAAAATGCTAACATTACTTACGCATTGCAAAAATACAAACGGAATTGAGAAAAAAGAAATAAAAGAGAAGAATTAAATTATAAATAAATATAAACTAAATTATAAATAAATATAACTATTATAAAATGTAAATAAAGCTTGTTGTTAAAAGGAACAAATTATTCAATGTTATATGTTATGATCATTTGATATCTAATAATTTATAGTTAAAACAATTTAATAAACTTGCACATTTACATATAGCGCACGTGTGAATCATATGATTAATGTCATGCAACCAGATCTAGGTTAAGCCAATATGAAAGATTGTAATAACAGAAATCGAAAATTTCGTGAAATATTGAAATCTACTATAACGCTCAACAAATATCGTACGAAATTTTTGAATGCCACGTTTCTCAAATTTCAATTCGCAATCTGCCGACTGCCGACATTAATCCCAGCTTTCAAACTTGCGATACGGCGCAATATGGATTCGACAATTAAACAGCCGACAGTTTGAGACAAGTTTCTCATTCAATGTTTGAATTCAAGTTTCAAGATTCATTTGTTCTATTCTTTTAAAAATTCTATTCAGAATCAACGCTATTAAAAATGTTGTACAAGTAATTTTATTTACATGTACAAAAAACAATGTACTAACAAAAGAGATTATTTATTGCATTACAGTCGCTGAAGTTATTGTAATTAAATTACCATTAATTCAAACCGATCTATATATGTACTCTTAATAATTCAAGGTATTTTCAAAGTGTATATATGAAGCAGAAGCCAATTATATCGATGTTAGTCTAACCTACATCAACTCAATTTTTTTCTTCAACTATTTTTCCAACAAAATGTTAATTCGAAATAACAAATTGTTAATTCAATTGCAAATTCAAAACTAATCAATTTTAATATTTGAAGATACATACCCGAAAAAAAATATTATATATATGGACATATTTTATATATAATTATATACAGTTATATATATAATATGTCAATTTTTATAATTTATATAATTATATATAATTTTATATAATTTTATGTAATTATATATGGAATTTTTTTCTCAGGTAGTATTATAAAAGTAGAAAAAATAATCTGATAATTTTATTAATGCATATACTGATTAATACATTTAATTTTTTAGTAATCGTTTCCATTGCATTATATCGCGTGTGTTGGATGTATAGAGATAAATATTTATAGGAGTTGCCTAAACAAAAGTGTCTCAATCACGTTGATCGTATAGTAAAAGTCATAAATTAACATTGAATAATAGATGGCTTAATATTGCAACAGAGCCATCAATATTAATAATCGTTCGATAAATACACAATATCCATTTATTTTTACATATTGACAGTGAAAATAAAATATTGAAATTTGATGTATAACCGTAGAGGGATCATTTATACAAATGTGGGAAAGCCGGGATATAGAAAATTTGATCTCTATGAGGCAAAAAATGAAGAGTATAGTGAAGGATAGACAAAATGAGAGAGAGAGAGAGAGAGAGAGAGAGAGAGAGAGAGAGAGAGAGAGAGCGAAAGAGAGATTGAAAGAAGCAACTATCTCATATGCACATTTTTAAATTTGAATAAATTATATATTGTGACGTCCATCCTTTATTGTCTTTAATTTCCGCCATGTTACATTTATGACAAAAATCTCACAAAAACAGATTTACGGGCGGATTGTAAAACGGATCGTGTCAATACAATGCGATCTCGATAATTCGATACTAATTAATATACGGAGATATATTATCGGATTATCGAGATATTGGGATTACGAGATTCGCAGTGTGTGACCACGAATTTGAGGATCCATTATTTCAATATGCAGCAAATTTAAGAGAGAGAGAGAGAGGAGGGAAATCCATTGGATGTTAGAATATATAGAATATATAAAACATATTATATATATATATATACACATCAGAATACAAATTGGCAATTTGCGCACCATAAGTCTAGCTTGCTGCCAGGATTTTTTAAAAATATATTCTCCTAACTAAATTACGATTGGTTTATCAGGACTATTGAACAGCAAGAGGAAGAATTAAAGAGCTTAAGCGATTACAAACTTTACAAATTTCGATCTTTTCGTTTTTTGAATAGCATGTTTTATTGTTTGACACATGTCAATTGTTGGGAAGTTTGATAAAAATCGGAGATGATCATTATGTTTCTCATCATAAGATTGTATTAAAAAGGAGAACCTATTATATAGAATATATTTGACCTATTACATGGAAAATTGAATTCTGATGAAATGAGTTAATTTCTACACATAATGTAGATAGTTTAATTATATAATTATAATTAATAATAAGTTTATATTGTGGCAAAAGATATCATAGACACAAGACTTATCAATAATGAATAGTTTCTGAATTATATACTATATTATC